CAAAACTAAAACTGGGAACCAGAGGCTAAGAGAACAAGAAGACGTTATAGCAGGCAGAGTTTCACAGATGTGATTTTCCTCCTGCTTTCTACTAACAGAGGTCATTTTGTTATTAATGGAAGGAGATCTATTATGCTCAAGTAACCTGTCATGGAGACTCCATCCAAAGTACTATATTATGCTTATTATTTCAGTCTAATATTGTCCATTTAGCATTTCATTATAAATGTTTAACCCTATAATCACTTTTGTCCTGCATAAACTGAGGGTCCATCAGCTTTAAAGATATGTGTGCTCTGGAAAACATTCCACTGCAGTGGACTGATTTCATACCTCTCTACCATCAAGGGACAGATACCTAATTTGAGGAAGTGCTCACATTCTAGGATGGCAGCCTAAATTCAGAGTGTTTCATCCACTGCTTCTCTGTAAATAATTTTATTTCTTGAACTTTTCCTTTTAATGCTCCCCCATTTTAGCAAGATGCATTAGAAATGTTTTCCAGCTTTGCATATCAGACAAAAACATATCACTTGTGACTGTGGTCACAGAAGCCTTCCTGTGTGAGTAACTGAAGAGTAACATCAAACTTATTTAATTTCAATATTCAGAATAACAATAATTAAAACAACTTTCCGTAAGACAGCGATCAATGATCTCACTCAGGAAGAGGAAAGAGTAAAGAAAATTACTTTTTTGGGTTTTTTCCATTAATTGTCCTCATCCTCAAGCCTGTTGGTTTTAGGATATGATCCCTTGCTGCTTTGCACAAGCTAGGAGCAGCTTACTCCCTGCTAATCTGTTTTATGAGAAAATGGAACTCCTCTGTCCTAAACAAGTACCCTTTAATTCTTTTATTGCTAGTCCTTACTTGCATGCAGCAGGCTGTCGCTTCCCCAGAAGATCCCAAATAATCTACCCAAGGTATCCTGTGGTTCCAGGTGATTATAACAGGGTTAGATACATTATTTCTACTTACTTTCTGAAAATATACTAATTTCCCTTAAATACTAAAATATAATAAATTTCCCCTTTCTAGTCCAGTATATTACATTATCCAGTGAATGTTTTCAAAGCTACACAAGTATATCATTTATGCACCATTAGGGCAAAAGTCAGATCTGGAGGTATAGGAATTTTGCAGCAAAATTACACAGCACATTGAAAAAATTCACTTGTAGCATTAAATGCTACAAAAACTAGCAGCTAGCAACACCAGATAGCAAACAAGAAAAATGCTACTTGCATCATCAGAAAACGCACATTCGCACTTTTGTTGAAATAGGAGCTGGATACCATACAGGGAGAAAACAGAGGAGAGAATACCACACCTTGGGTACAAATTATCAGGTACAATGTTTTTAAAAAGGTCACAAAAAAATCCTTCAGTAAACAAATGTCCACTAAGTTGGACGAGAGAAATGCAAATTTCTCACTATGGGTAATGAATTAAACTCAACATTCTTCTGTAGGCACTAACCCACTCCCCTCCCAAAAGAGCAAAATAATAATAGAAGTATCATTAAAGTAAATTTAATCTCAAAGACATGAAAACTATTTAACATAACAGATATGTCCTGGAAAATTTTCACAAAAGGTCATTTGCAAAGAATATAAAAGTATATTTCTGTCTCTCACCATCATAGCTGTAGTATATTTATGGTCAAAAGCTAGTTCACTCATTCATTAAAATATTACATCTGTAATGGTTGTAATGGTAACAGTTGAAAGCTGAATTTGAAAAATTCTTCATAATACTTTTACAAATCCTAAAGACCAAATCTGTTAACCCATAAAATTAATTCAACTAGGAAAACCTAAAAAAAACATTTAGGTTTGTTTTGGGTGGCTCAAGATGAAGATTTCACTTGAAAAGTCATCCAATGAAAGATGCACAGAGCACATGGATATGCAAATATGTAAGAAAAGAGCTCAGCACAACCTCAGTGGAGGTAAGCAGGTGCTGTGGGGGACCTATTCTCTGCACAAAATTACGTAGTGGTATAAATTCCCTCTACCAGAAGGAAACATAAAAGTAAAATGCCGGCACAAGTCTGCCAGCACAAGGCTGGAGAAAGCCTTACAGTTCTATAGATCCCAGACACATCTCATTTCTAACATCTCCACTAACACACCACTAATTTCCTCAACCCTTCCCCCAGCAGCTTCTCGGTTCAGTCACCAGAACCTGCCACAGCTTTGCCACCTACGCTCCTCAGTCTATTTTGAGGGAAATAAATCTATTATTTTAACCAGGTAAGGTAAGCAAAATAATTTTGGCAGAAACAGAAGGGTTCCTGTGTTCAGCTGGCAGGTTGGGGGGCAGTAAATGCAGGCAGAAGAGGAATGACAAGCTGCTGGGGAGTGAGTGATGAAGAAGACAGGCAACCATCACAGCTATGGACTATGCTCTAGAGATTCATTGTTCCTTAAACAACACATTACTATTACAACATAATTGGATGTTGGATTCAAAAACAAGAAGTATTCCTACAGCAGTACACGAACACTAACTACTGTCACTATCCTTTTTCTGACTAGTCTCGCTGTCCTCTTAGCCACAATACCACTTCTCCTGTCATTTATCTTAAAAAATACCAAATCGCATGACACAGGTTAGCATAACCTACTCACCTCTTCAGTAGTTTAAGGTGGTGACAAAGTCTTTCAGCTTCCTTCAAAACAAACATATCTGCTGTAATTCTCTTGATAAATGTCAGACCTTGAAAACAACAGACTCTGCGATTTCTCCTTGAACTTCTCTTAACAAAATTAAACAGCACAGAACAGATGCCAGGATGCTGTTCAATTCCACCCTTGCCTGAAAAAGGTCTCTGAAGGTCTGCAACAAGTTGCAGCATCCTACAACTTTCCACCAGCAGTTCCACTGCTCTGCCACCGGCTCATGCCCCTTCCCCAAAGAGCCCAAACACACCCCAAAAGCAATTAAATTAATTCTGGGGAGTGGCAAAATTACATCTTCAGTGGCCACAGATGTGCTGGATTAGGGACCACATGGAAAGTTGGTACACACACAGCAGGTACATAGTAATGTCACAGCTAGGCTTCACGAACGAAGATTTAGGAAGGCTCTATCCGCATTTGTTACAAGCACGCTGGTGGCTAATGAGGCCAATTCGAGATAGACATATCCGATTGCAAAAGGCACAGCAGAAAGACTCCTTAGGTGGTATATTCTGAAAGACACGATTCTTTCTGCATTGTCTTTTCTCCTCGACAGTGATCCTGCATGCGTTCTCAAAGGAGACAGCTGCGTTATAGATGGTGTGTCTCCAGGCCTCCCGATTGGAGGCCAGAGTAGACCAATGATGATGATCAATATGGCCAAGGCTGAGATGATGTTTCAGGGAGTCCTTGTATCTTCTCTTCGGGGCTCCTCTCTTGCGGCAGCCGGTGGCAAGTTCATCATAGTAATACACTCAAAAACACCTAACTGTGACTATCCTGATTATAGTTATATTTGGCAGTGGTGAAGGAGAAACCAAACCTGACAAACAAAACAGTCTTACTACTGTTTCCAGCCTTTGTTAATTTGGTTGTCTGGGTGCATAACTGTCACACACACAGTTTGTGCTATTAAGCATACAAACAGTAAGCAATACAGCTCAACCATTTAATAGTATTATGTTCAAATTTGATATGCCCCTAAAAGAGATGTTGGCCACTTAACAATGCTGAAAACTTTAATCTCAGCCTCAAACATTGTTTCACCTCACAGCCAGGAAGGGACTCAAACTCACTAAATATTACAAACACAGTAAAATGTCACAAAGTGGCAAACTATAACTCATGACTGCACTTTCAAAACTTACATGATGTGGTGATACTCATCACCTCCATATCAAACCAAGTTTTATCCAACTACTGAAACATCGAAATAGAATTCAAAACTAACTGTTGGTTCTTTGATTTTGCCATTTTTTGAGAAGAAATTTCTTAAATAACCTAACTAGAGCCCTTAAAAACTGAAAAGATCCGATCTGATTCGTACTTCGTTATCAAGTTGGATCCTGTATGTCCTAGAAATCAATAGTGCATTATCATTAACTCCAATGCATGTAGCAACAGGCATATGGGCCAAACCCTTGAAGGCTGTACTGTCTTTATTTTCTCAAACATGCACATCTCAGTAGGGCAGATGAGGAAAGTGTATTTAAAAATCACGTTTGAGAGTGGTGCTCTAGTGCTTATGTATTTCTAAGTCAGCAGAAACACTCATGTTTTCAAGATCCTGATTTACAAGAACTTGGTCTCCTCAACTTCCAGTTTTCCTCAACAAGAAAACTTACAGTAAACTCATCTTACATAAAAAATGCAATTTGTTACCTTAAAACATTCCTAGGATATTTTAAAGTGTGAATCAAAAAGCCAAATCAAAACCACTGTGTGAAATACTGAACATCAGACTTTTGATACTATTTACCCTAGAGTAGGTGCAATAAAATAAATTTTATACAGAAAGAAATACTTCTACACTTAGAGTATATTTGTTCTAGTTCAGCTGCCAAAGGAAAAAATGTGTCTGTTTGTTATATTAAAAAGAATGAACTATGGAATTATAAAACATCATCTCATAGCCATCTAGGCTGAAGTGCAATTCCCAGGCCAAATTAAACCTTCAGCTTTACTGTGAAGCTGCCTGAAAAGGAGAATTGCAGGTAATGCTTCAACTTGATTCAAGCAGTCAGTCATGTTTCAGGTTACAAAATGATTTCACCACCATAACTTTTGTTTTAGTGATTGTCAGAGGTACTAAGCTGCCAAGCCATACACACACATTCTGTCTCTGTCCACTTGTACAGGAGATCTGGCAGCAGGAGGGGCGTGCCCGAAGGACAGTGAGGTGGTTAAGGGGAGAGCACTGAGCAGCTGACCTCTGAACAGTGAGCAACACCCTTGCCTGTTTAATGGCGGGGAAAATTTTTTCATCCCTGAATATAACTGTCAGCATCCTGAACAAAGGAAGATGAAACACCAACCTTGGAATACAAGGGGACTCTGTAAATGAGGATCCGATATTCTGTCTGCAGCTGCCACCAGATGTTGAAGCTCTGGAGGAAAGTACACAATAATTAATCATAATCCCAGAAGTCAAATTAGGCACCAAGAAAAAACGGTCCTCCTGACCCAAGAGAAAACCATTCAGGTTCTGAAGCATGATATTTTATTCTAATTCTGCTACAACACACAGAAGGCACTGCAAATAATCCTGGGTTTTCAATCTAGGGAAGAATGAAGGTGAATGGAGCGGAGTTCTTCCCCTTTCCACACACACTGGAAATGTCCTCCACCAAAGCAAGCCAAAGCACATCTTTGAGAAGAAAACCCATCTCACTTTAAACACTCCCAGCAACAGCAAATCCACTACAATGCTTTACTGCCCTCATGGCTACTTATTATTTCAAGGTACAGCATACCTAACTTCATCTCTCAGACACTGGATGGTCAAGTAAATATCATGTACTTTCCTTACACAAGTGTATGATATATACAGGTATCATTTCCTCTCTCAGATGTACAATCTAAAATTGTGAAGACTGGTCTCCAAACCCTGGACACTTTTGTCACTTTACTCTTACTGATATTTCACATCCTTCCTCACGTGAGAGCAGCAAAACCAGACATGGAATTCCTGTGACCTTACTAATGCCACGTACTTTCCTACTTCTGTGCAATATTTATATTGCTATACAGCCAAGGGCCACACTGCAGTTGCAAAACTGCAATGAAAATTCCTGTTGAGATGATTGTCCGCACAAATTCTTAAATCTTCTTTTAAATTACCAGTTTGAAGACAGTCGACTATCCTGCTGGTGTAACCACAGTTCTGGCTCCTTTGTATGTGGCTGCATGAAAAATGCCTTCTGATGGATACCGAATATTTAAAAAAATTATTTGGAGTACAGCATGCTAATAACTTGCTCCGTATGTGCACAAACCTGTGTGTAATGTACTGGTAACAATGTGGTATCATCACAAAAGCTGTGAATATATTGATATTAACCAGCCTTACACGAAGATCCAGCCCCTGGGGAACCCTACAAGAAACAGCTGCACTCCCATAGAAAAAAGGCACGCCTAAGTTCCTCTCTAAACTAAGAAAGATTTATGAAGCAACTTTGCCAATGTTTGTGGTATTTATTCCACAGTGACTCTATGGCACTGTTTTAAACTCACACTTCACTGCAGAGTTAATAGATATATCAGGGACACAATATAGGGTGAGTCTGCTACAAGAGAACAGTTGATGAATAGCTTAGGAATTTGGGAGATGTGGTTTTTTACAATTCAAAACACTGGGAAGCAATTTGCTCTAGTTCTACTGTAAACTGGTCTTTAACAATCACTAAGTCATTTTGAAAGATTCAGAATGAGTAAGCCCTGGCTTGTCATTTATTTCAGAGGCACCATTTTAGAGTTTTTAATTTTTCAGCCCAGAAAACAACAATGAATAATGTGAGTAAGGGAAAGCATTCATACCATTAACCAAAGAGGTTTAGGTTCCATTCTCTAATAAAAAAAAAAATTAAAAAATCAGAATCAACTGGCTGACAGTAGACCAGGTAACCTATCAAATAATATCGTAATTCAGCAGTGTATTTCCATGTACATAAACACATACACAGTACTGACGAAGCTTGTAGCATTGCCTATTAGGCAGCTGCTGAACACTTCCAATGCAATATGCTGCTTCCAGCTGCTTGTAACTTGGCCAGACTTTGACTGTTTGGGTTGAAATTTTCCAAGCTGAGTGTCTGCCTCAGGCTAAATTTTGTTCCCTGTGCTGTAAAGGTTACCCCCGAGTGAGGGGTGCAGAAAGAGGCAGATTGTAATTACAAGAACTCAGCTGAAACACTTGAGCTGTTTTCAGAACAAGAACAGGGAAAATGCTATATGTTCAATATATCTCTGGCAAACTTTAAAGGCTGTAACACCTTTCCAGTTCCTGGTGACAGAGCTGAAATTCGACATGAGGGGTGGGGCCCATATATTGCTGCCCCCATGAAAAGTCCACCTGCATTTGGTCAAACATATAAAGACAAATTGCACTGTGTGCATTTTCAGTAGGTGTTTGCTAGGCCATGTTCACATTCTTCTCAAATCCTTATGCTGATCAGACAATGTAGGCCTTCCCCACAGCCATAAGCAACTTCTCCCCCAGAGCTGGTGCAGGACAAGGCTGCAGCTGAAAGAGAAGAGTAGGAGGCTCCAGGCTTTCCACATCAGGGCTGGTGGAGGCCACAATGGCACCAGGTACTTGAGACATGAGCAAGTACAGCAACACAGACCACAGCCACGACCTATCACCACTGGTTATTCTCAGCAGTCCTGGGTGTTACACTAGAAATCCAGTTGACAAAGGATGGTGACACATGCACACTACCCTAAGCTGCCTATCTGCTTTTTAGCACTTTTCCTAAGGGAAAGAAAACCTAGGAAATTACAGAACGCAGTATTAAAAATGTGACAAAGACAGGAGAATTTAGGAATTATTAGAATTAGGTGGTCTACAGTATCTAAAGATGTCTCCTAGTGCTAATATGCATGGAGATCAATCTCTAAATGCAACTGACCTGGTCACATTTTTTTCCCCACTGAAGCTTTGCGATAATTAACAGACAAATTCCTCTTTTTGCCCTTGTTCTCTAGAGCATCACCACACACTTTAAATCCCAGAGGAAATTATTTCTTTTCTCTCAGGTTCTTTTATGGTTTTCATAACTACAATGATCTGTAAGATAAAAGATACTGCTATCTATGTTTTTTTAATATGGGAAATTAAGATACGAAAAGATTAAAGCAAAAAGTTACAGACATGGAGCAAGCAATTCTGACACTCAAAACTTGTATTTTAAACACACTTAGACCTACAAACATCTTCTATATGTCAAGAGCAAACAACTGCTCACTTCTGTTCCAGATGGATAAGTTCAGCATAACTGTGAAGCAGATCCCAGGGACTTAGGCCAGGCTCCGAGAAAATCCAACAGCATATGGGTGAAAACCTTTATATTGAAATCCTTTGGCAAATGCAGGGGTGGCAAAATCCAAATCTCCAGCTGTCTCAGGCATGAAGCTGCATCTCCCTCCGCATATAATTATTTGCCTCATTCATGTTACCTGTTCTCACTGCTGCCCAGCTACACCTTGGGGTCCACCTCTGGTTCATCACCCAAGCCGGCTACGACGTGGCATATCCCGTCACGACCGACACCATCATCGTGCACAGGCCCGCGGCAGCCAGATGAGCCTGGCTTTTTTACAACTCCCGAGCACTTCCCTTTGCAAACTTAGCACCGACGGGGTAGGGCTGGGCAGGGCGGAGAGGTAGTAAATGTACAGAATAGTGTATAGAGATCAGCGACATCCACTGGGTGGCAGACATGTTTCATGGGATCCAGAGATGTACATATACAGAGGTATACAAACGAAAGCTCCTAAATACTGGGCTTGTTCCCTGTCTCAGAAGCAGCAACTGAACAGGCAGGGTAAAAAAAAATAATAAAAAAATAAATAAATAAAAGATTAAAAATCCCGCAGAGCAAGGTTAACATATTCTGCCTCCATTTTAACACCAGCTTCTTGTCCACAGTGCTGAGGCACTGGAACTGTTCTGGCACTCGAGGGTCAGGGTTGTGCAGATTCATGGTGCCCCACATCCCTTCTGTAAGTGGGTACCATCATGCAAGGTGACAGGGACCTTGTGAGTCTTCAGAGTCTCTGCTGCCCCAATTAATGAGTAATGCCTACAGAGGCCAAGCCTCTCAACTCTTCCTCACTTTAACAAACTCGGGGAGGTGGGGAGAGGGAGGAATTGTTTTGGACTAACAGCTGTAAATGTATCCACGTGTGTAAGCAGCTAAGTTTTAAAGTTCAAAGAAACATAAAAAGCTAGTATTTTCCATGTATTTCCACTTAGCATCTAAACAGAACCATTTCAAAAGTTGCTTAGATGTTTCTGCAGAAGAAGCTGTGAACCAAATTTCAACCCAGTGCATATTTTTATAACCAAGTTGTAAACTACATAAAAACTACACTTATAATGGAAATGCTGACAAATGCATAACTCCTGCAGCTAGCTATGACAGTCTGACCACAAGCCCTCCTTCAGGAAAAAGAAACGTTACCTCCCCACCTCCTTTCGCAGGCAGCTCGACAGCAAGCTCGGGTGGAGGGTGGTATGTACAGGTACCTCTGCCTTATCCTCGTACGATGGATCGAGGCAACTCCTTACAACCCGTGTTTCCCACATGTTGAATGAGCCTCCTCCTGTTTTTGCCATAAACAACCGGAGGGCCTCTTACAGCCATGACTCACTCCGCAGGCTTCTCCTCCACCCCTGTGCGTGACTGTAGCAAACAGGCTGCCAGCTGCAGCCGGTGAATTAACAGGACTTTTTTCGCAGAACCGTGGGGAGATCAGTCACACAGGGCGGGGGGAGGGAGGGGGGGCGCGGAGGTGGTGGCGTGGAATACTGGGGTGAGTTGTATTTGTGGGGGAAGCAGCAGAGGAGGCGACTCAGGGTCAGCGTCTCGGGGACGCCCATGCGCGACCGTGTCGTCCCCGTCCCCCCGCCCCGGGACGGCGCCCCTTGGCTCCCCCACCCGCTCCCCTTCCCCGCCGCGGCTGCCCCACGACGGCCGGGAGGGAGGGAGATAGGGCGGGAAGGGAGACAGGCAGGGAGAGAAGGAGGGAGGGCAGGGCGGCGGCGCCTGGGTCAGGGGGAAGAAGGGGGAGGCGAAGCCGTCACGCAGCGACAGCCCTCCCGACACACGCGCCGCCGAACTCCCAGAAAGTTGGCAGGGACGTCCTGCGGGACGGGGTTCCGCCGGCCGCCACACAAGGGCGCGCACCGCCGCCTGGCCGGGGCCCGCCGCCTCCCCAGCCCCTCCGCACCCCATCACCGCCCCTCTGCTCCCCACACCTCCCATCTCCCGCGGGAGCGGCGGGGCAGCGACAGCCCGGCACGGGGCGCTGCCTCCAGCGGGGCTCGAACCCATGGTTTGCGGTGGCTCTCCCCGCCGCGGGGGAAGGGGCAGAGCCTCCCCGTCCCCCCGAGCGCGAGACTCGGCCGGCACTCACCGAGCGGCGGCAGCTCCCGCTCCCTATCCGAGCAGCTCCCGCTGAGCGCTCGCCTCTCCAGGGGTGAGGGAGGAGGAGCGGGCGAGGGCAGGAGGTGGGGAAGGGCGGGGGAGGAGAGCGCGGGTTGAGCCTTCCCGGCTCCCGTCGCCGCGCTCCCTCCCTCTCCTGGCACCGCCCCATCCCGCCCCGGCGGGCGCAGGGGAGCCGAGGGGAGCGGAGCGGAGCGGCAGCGCTGCCTGGGGAGCGGCGATGTGAGTGCCGGGGCCGGGAGGGAGCGGGCACAGCCCCCCACCCTGCGTGCCGGGGCCGGGCCGGCGGCGGGGTCGGCGGGACCGGGACCGGGCCAGGCCGGGCCCCCGCAGGCCATGTGGGGGCCGGGGGTGGCGGGGCTGTGGCGGTGCTTCGGCTGTGGCCCGCGACCCCCGCCCCGCTGAGAGAGGGGTTTCCTTGTCGCTCCGGTCTCTCTGTTCCTGGCCGTCCTCCCTCCGTCTTCGTGTTGTTTGTTTTTGCTGCGCTTTCGTCCCCTTATCTCCCTGGCACACGGCGGGCAGCGGCGCCTCCCGCCGGCAGGGGACTCAGCGGCCCACAGAGCCGGGCGGGCTGCGGGGAAGGGGGCCTGCGTCCCCCTGACCCCACTCCGTCCCCTCGCAGTCCCCCGTCTTCGTCCTCCTCCTCCTCCTGTCTCCGTCTCCCCTGCCCTGCTCCCTTCTACCTGATCCTCCATTCCCCCCTGCACCCCTTCCCCCTGCACTCCCCTTCTTCCCCCTCTTTCCGTTCCCCCTGCAACCCCTCTCCCTCACTCCTTCTCCCCCAAGTCCCCCCACCCTTCAGGCTCCTTTAACGTCTCTGGTCCTGGGTGAATCGCGCGGAAGAAAAGCCTCTGTACCTTGGTTTTACCTGGCCGTCGCTACCTCCTTTAACTCTTTGGTTAAGAAATTTGTGTTAGTACCTGAGCACGTGTGGGGGGGGTAGAAATCCAGGTTGAGGTCTTTTATTAGGTGCGAATGGCACATGAATGGCATTTGCTCGTTTCTGTTAGTTTTCAAGATATCCTAACTTCCCTGCTGAAAAAAAAATAAATCTTAAACTGGTCAAAAATTTCTTCAGAGGTCTTTCTCTGGGGCCATATTTGATGGTGAGCTGTGTGAGGCTGTCTTGCAGACTGGTACTATATACAGCAATGTTCTTAATTTTAGGTATTGCTAAAATTATACCTGAACAGTTTCTTGACCCAATTTATGTTGCTGGTTTTTTCCTCTCTTCTAATTCTTATCACATTCTTCCTGACATAGCCCATATCTTTCTTTTGCATCTACAGCAGCAGACCTCTGGTCTCAGTAGATATCCCTGACTTCAGATATTTAACTTTTGAAGGCTGACTGATGCAGTTTGCTTTTAGGTTCCCTGTATAAGAAAGAAACATGCACCTAAGGAGTTCAGTTTGCTTCTCAAGTGCCTCTTTAGGATGGAAAGAGCAATATTTTGGACATTACAGTTTCTATCATTGAATTGGAAAACTAAGACGATGCTAATCTCTCTATTTGGACAACTGAAGTTAGGGGACATGACCTAGAGAATTGGAGTTCCATACATGCAGAAGGCTGCCTTCCCTGATAGCCTTGTCCATTCTTGTATATTATTAAAAATGTTTTTAGCATTTGAAGTAGTTGAATCACCATCCCTGGAGGTATTTAAAAGACATGTAAATATGTCACTTAGGAACATGGCTTAGTGGTGGATTTGGCAGTGTTAAGGGTTGGACTCTATGATCTTAGAGGTCTTTTCCAACTTAAATGATTCTGTGATTCTATAATTTACAATTTAGAGAAGAGGTCTGGTAAAGGAGATTCATGAAAATGATCTTCAATGCCAATACAGATCAGACTCAGCACCTTCTGCAAACTCTGCTCTCCATGGGATATTGTGATGTGTATGTAGTTCAGAGGGGGCTAAGACAGTAATAAAAAGAAGCAGCCACTCGGGTTGTAAATTAGAATTTACAGAAGGACTGCAAAAAATATAATTGACTTGAGAGCGAGAAGAACAAAGCCATTTAGAGAACTGCCATGTTTCATGTGGATGAAACTCCCATCCAGTACTACTCTCAGAGCCCACATATAGACATATATTCCATGTCCACATATGTGGGCTCTGACATATGTGGACATATACATGATCTATTAGAAAGCCAAAAAGCTAAGGTTAGGTAAAGGACAGTCCTGTGTATTCACAGTGTCAGGGATGCTATTTCCTTTAGTCCTTATTTTTAAATACCATTTTTTAAAAATAAAAGTTAAGGGTACATATCTAAGAAGAGGTTTTAAGGTAGGATTAGTATGCTGTGAGTGAATGGAGTTGGTGTGAGTTCTTTGAGAGCGTGAGCCATGGCACTGGGACCTACTTCACAAGAAAACCTTTTTGCCTTTCTTCCCTGCCAATCTTAGTACTGCCTTTTTAGATCTCAACAATACTGGAATATATGAATTGGAATTAGCTGCTCTGGAATGGCTTCCCATGTGGATGAGGGTCTATTGTGAAATACATGTGATTGTTTTCTTTTTCTTTTGTTCTTTCTACTTCTTTCAATTACAGAACTATTACTTTTCTTTAAATGGACACAGTATTCCCAAATAGTATTCAGAAATAGTAACAGATTCTGTGTCCTTTTGGATGGCTGTTTTAGAGCAGCCACAATATCTACTGTGAGTTACTGTCTTTGTGTAGTCAAAAACTTGAATCTTACTTACTTCACACACCTGTACTCAAGAAGATGATGCATGCAGTAGCTGTTCAGTGCTCAAACCTGCAGAAAGCTGTAAGATGTTAACTTCCTGTAAAGTCTTCAGAGGTTGCAGATACTCAAACCAAAAAAGGCTGCTGAGCCTATATATTAGGTTTTTTTACCCCCTAAAGGCTTATAATTTGGACAGATACATCCTTGATACAAACTCCTCTGCATCCCTGCCAGATTTCAGGTCTGTTTTAGAACAGAGCCGTTCAAAGCAAATACTGCCAGATTTTGTTTGCACAGCCAAATTCTTTTTTATTGTGTTCAGAACCACCTAAACCAGTTGTCTCTCCTCCTTCCCCCCTTAATTTCAGTATGTGATAGGAACAAAATCCTCCAGCCCAGTCTCCAAGTAAAGTTTGGCAAAGTTGTCTCAGCTGAAGATAGCTACTTTATGAGGGTTTCTTAAGCCTCTCTATATAAGGCCTGCTGTTTGCACCACGTGTTTAAACATGAATAATATAGTAGCTTGTGAGGAGAAGAAGCTTGCAGGTAGACAGTTTGGGGCCCTGGACTCCACTACTGCTGGCATTACTCTGCAGGTTACACTGTTGACAGAACCTGTCCCCTTGATGTGCTCCCAAGCGTGGTTCCCATGCTGGAGTATCCCAGTCACTGCAGCGTAGGCTGCATGATCCTCATGGCTCAAGAAATTAATTATGCACAGTAAAAATACCTGACTTTCTGTGTTGTCTCTCTGAGTTTCATCATTTTCATATCTTTTGGACTGGCAAATCGGGCAGGTGCTGTTGGTGCAGAATTGCTACTTGTTCTTCCCCATGTTCTCGCTCCCTCTGACATTTTAAATGAGTTTTGGAAATCTGAAAATTGTTTTAACATTGATGCTACTTGCACTCTGCTGTTTGTAGCAAAGACTTTGTCATTTCATTAAAGTTTCAAGAAAATAGTTTGATTTTTACTCTTTTTCCCTCCTTCCCCCTTAGCCCTCTGAACTGTTGCACATTCTGTGTGGGTGGTGTGACCAGTAAAAGGGGAAAGAAAATCACTGCACTTGAGGAAACACGAATTTCTTGCAAGTTGGTATAGGATTTCCAACTCTGGATGGAAGTTTACAGCAGTTTGTCCAGACACCATCTGTGTCGGTGCTTGCTCTTTTTTCTAGTGGTGTAAACTCAAGTGGAAAATCTTTAAGAGAATTACATGATATATAAGATTTCTCATGCCCATAAGGCACAGAATTGAGACTGTAAGTTACACAATTAATTTAAAATGCAGAATTTAAAGTTCCTAGGATATCTGATCTTCTGCACAGAGTACCATTTACATTTATTTTATATGTAACAATGGAGAGCCAGCTTCAGTTTTTATCAAAACCAATAGAAGATGAAGACAAAAGGCTTCTGTGTTCAAGATGTGGATTTGTACTGAAGGTACAGGTGTGCCCTCAAGTTCTCCAGCGTGATTACTCTATGTGCAGCTACAGTGGTTTGCAACAAATGTGATGTCCAGTAGCATTTAGGAAGGAAATCTGTGAAAAATATAGCTGTGAAAATACAGCTCGCCAAACTCTCAGGTGTTGACCTGTGGTGGGTGCAGCTGTACGGTCTTAATTTTAGCACTTACACTTGATTCTGTTAAAGAGAAAGAGCCTCCTGTGTTAGGTTAAACTTGGAAGTAGGCAGAGATTCCTGCATATCCAAGACATTCAGTGTGGCTTTTTTCCAGTTTATGTGTTTTGTATCAGAATTGTTCCATTGCCTTAGAAAGGTTAACCCTGCCTTTAGCTGGAAATTTATTATAAATGATGTTGAAGGATTTAGAGACAATTTAGGAGCTATAGCTCAAATAGGAAAAAGGATCTCAAGGTATTTTGAGCTCTGAATTTTTCCTTTCCACTCATCTGGTTTTTCAGCTAGAGCATTTGATTTCTCAGGCTTTGCCCCTGGTACACTTTTTTGTAACTCACAGAAAAAGCCTTTGAATTAAATGTGTGACTAAGTAATCACACAATTTTAAAATACACCATTTAGGGATGAGCAGATTTCTGTTTAAATTGGGGAAAGCCCAGCTGCTTCTTTCTAGATTTCCAGAAAATTGCTTGAAAAGCTGCACATTGCTTACACAGTATTGCTTACAGGTTGGTACATTTTTGCAGAGTATATCCTTTGCACTTACACTTTTAAATAATTGTAGCCTCTTGGAAATTGTACTTTTACATTGAGCACTGGTAGGAGAGTGTATTTTGATACCTGCTTAAATTTTAGGAGTTGAGTCAATAAGGTCTGTTTCTGTAATTAAAGATCTGATTGCAGGTATCGTGAGGATTGAGGGTGCTGTTGTTGTGTGTGAAAAAGTTTTGGTTTTATTGAATGAGAATGTATTTTCCTTGGACTT